GGGGGGAGGTGGGGGTCACCCAGCAGCCGATCACCAAGCCAGCAGCAAAACCGGAAGTACACTTCCACCAGCACTTCCAGTTTCACAGCTGGCACTTCCAGGGGGTGCACAGGGTAACCAAATCGCACCAATGGTAACAAGAAAGGTTAGTGAATTATGTACATCCGTTTCTTTATGCCAGTTTAGCTTGGTAAAGAGGGACTTAAAAGCAAAATAAATACAGCAACAAAGATGCTCTGTTCTATATGGCAGTCATGCTAATTTACAGGAATATTAAAATATACTGGTCTACCTGTTACCTTCAGAATATAAGATATTATAAATATGTAGAACAAGAAAGTGAAAAGGTGAATGACAACAACTAATGAAGATAGGTTTCAAACATTCAGTTATGTACAAAACACTGTAAAGGCAAGCGAAATTCACACGTTTAAGGATTGTATATATCAAAGTATGAAAGAAGTTAACATACTATATTTTTCATATCCAAACACACCACTGAATATAATGTGCACCTTGTATTTGAAAGACGGAATGAAAAAAAAAAAAAAGGTTTTTCTTCAAACTTATGGCTGCATGTAGCAGGAACAGGGCCTAAACTTCAAGCTCACTCTTCCTCTCTAGAACCTTAGCTGCTGCTGAAGGCTGGTCTCCAACGGTGAATCTACAATTCTGAAAAGAACTGAAGCGTCTCCAAGGCTGTTGCATAGGAGGAGATTTAACCAGCAACTGCTACCAGACAGCAAAATTGCCTTAAGAAAGGTTAGACTGATTAGCAGAACCTCAAAATAATTAAAAAGGAAAGACAATCATTAACACTCCCCCTTGGAGTGAAGAACAATAAGCCATTAAGTCTATTAACTACCTCAGCTCCTAAACACTAACACAACAGCTGCTGCATCATGGAGCAGGAATCAAAGCAGGGTCTTTCTAACACACAGAAAATCAGCTTCCCAGCATAATACGCATACTCTTTTTTTTTTTTTTTTTGGGGGGGGGGGGGGAGCAGGGAAGGAGGAGGGGAAAAAGTATACAATGTATACAAGAAATTATATGGTATTTCACTGAGGAAATGAAAGTGAACCACTAGTGAATAAACTAAACTAATCCAGCAACTAAAACCAAGATGTTTAACTTTCAACTAGGTCATTATCATTTTATACATCTTTTTTGTTTTCTTCCCCTAGGGAATTTCTTTGGTCTCAACTGTAGGGCAAAAGGACTCACCCTAAACACTTCACATCTAAATTACAAAAATAAAAAACAAACAAACCAAAAATAAAAGACTGCAATATCCATGTCTGCAAAAATACATTTTCTTACCCATAGCTCACACATGCATGTTCAACACATTTGGACATATGCATGTTTCCTTCCTGTAGGGACTTAGTTCCTAACATGAAAATCAAAATCACAATACAGTCTACGAGACAAGCTTTTGTACAAAAGTTTAATATTGTGTCTAAATATAAGATTACACTACTCTACCTTTACTCTTCAAAGTATTAGACTTCTCTGCATTCATACAATCCATGCTCTCTGCCTGATTTCTCTACCATATATGTAATACTATTCTTTTTATAATACATTTCATCAGAGGATTTCAACATGATGAGGAAATCACTCACTCTGCTTCTTCATTAATATGATCATGACTGACCAATGATACTTTGGTTATAAAAGGTATCTTTCCTTTATCCTATTTGATTCAAGATGTGAAAAAGCAGTGTTTGCCTATTTAATAATCGAGGAATGGAGAGAAAGCAACTGTCATTTGCCTGCAGTTTCACAGTAAGTCAGTAACAGAATCTGTTTCTAATTAGTAGACACTGCTTCCTGTGGTGTATTCAGGTATTAAAATATATGCACAATAAATTCAACAAACAAAATATTAGACATTTTACTGGCTTACTGAGTAGCAGAATGTATCAACAAGAACAATCAGACTACAATTGTTATCCTTTTGTAGATAAATGAGAAATACAAACTATTTATTTCAGAAAACAGACAATAACCTGTTACATTAAAGGGTGTGAGGCAATGGTGTTGGAGACGAGAACTGTTACATTCTCCTATAAAATTCATGATAATCAAAAAGGACTTTTACATTTCAAATAAACTCTCTCTCAAGGTGGTGATATCAAACATCAGTCTCATTTGAGCATGAAGACTCCCAGATGAAAAAAATTCTAGGATGAAATTTCAAGTGCTAATTTGTACATATGTAAACAATAGCTTACTATTGAAAAAAAATCTGGTCATATCATCCATTGCAAATGTTCAACATTATATGGAGATGCAGTATATCCCTACACTACATAGTGTTTTTCCCCTATCCTATTTGACACAGTGCTTGGAGTGGAATAAAAGCTGGAAGGAAACCCCCAAAACTCATTAAAATGCATGAATGGAGAGGATTTCCAATGAAAAAAACCTCTTAGCTTAAATAAGACCATTAATAGAGTAAAAGCACCAAGCTATTTCCACATTTCAGTGCTTACCAAAATGATTCATGCCCTCCCTCCCCCCAGCACTATTCAAGATTGCCATATGGAAAAGAACGGTTATACCTTTCATCATAGTTCTGTATTTCTAGGCTCTAGCACCTCACCTCTTTATAACAGAGAGCTGCTGACGGCCGTAACGGAGGTGCAGGTCGTAAACAGCTCAAGCTCCAAGGTTTGGGAGTTTTAGGAGGCTCCAGGGGTCCCCAGTTTATAGTAGTATGTGGAGTCCCATGATGCGAAAGATGTGGAAGCGTGTGGTAAGCAGGGGTCAGCGGTATCGGTTTGCTGTCTGCGTGTTTGCTGGATGGTGTTACTGGATGGGAGGGAAGCTGCCAAATGTACAGAGATTCAAGGCAGGGAGAAGAAAGAGAAACATGATTTCATATTAAAGAAAAAAAATCAAAACTGGATAAAGGTCATTTTAAATCAGCTACTTAACACTTCTATTATTTACATAACAGAAGATAAATTTATTTCAATAAGCTCTTACTTAGTAGCACTGAACAAGCACATAGGAATCATAGAAAAGTGGGGCTCAAAGGGACCTCAAGGTCATCTAGCTCAGCCCCCTCTCAATGCAAGATAATCCCTGAATAAACCACCCAGTTGAGTGTTCATCTAACCTGCTCTTGAACCAAAACAACTAGAATCTCCCTAAGGTCGTCACTGATATACTTAAATTTTAAAAAGTGAATCCAAAAGAACCATTCAGTTTGGGTAATTTACTTAGCATCCTGAGGATGACTATTCTAAATTGATTTGTGAAGACTTGACTGTGGGCACATCTACATGTGCAATTAATACACCTGAATATTCACCATAGAAGAATTAGGATCATTAAAGCACTCCTGGGTGCACGTCTACATGTGCACCCATGCTGGGAGAAAATTGTGCCCAACAGGAACAGCTCCTGCCTTGCTCTGTCCACTAGAAGCAGCCAAGGGAACCTCCAGGCTCTCCTGGGTGCCAACCCCTAGTTATTCCAGCTCTGGTGGCAACCTGGAGCTATGTGGGATGGGAGGGGAGCTGTCCCAGGTTGACAGGTAACTCCCTACCTGGCACAGGGAAAAATCAGGGTGGGCTCAGAGGGCAGGGGGAGTTGTCCCAGCTTGGCAGGCAGCTGCCTGCCAGCCCAGTGCAGATTAGGACCTGTCCCAATCTCCACAGGGCAGGGAGAACTGTTCCGGCTGCTGGGCATCTGACTACTGGCCACGTGGAGATCAGGTCGTGTCCCAATCTCCATGTGGCTGGGAGGCAATGTTCTGCCAACCTGGGACAGCTCTCCCTGCCCCACTGCCCCCCGCCACATAGGCTGACTGGCAATTTGCTCCCAGTCAGCATCTAGACATGCGCTTGGGCATATTAATGCACTGATCTCTAGTACCTGCATCTACAGGTACTAGAAAATGGCACATTAGATTCATCTACTGCGCAGTAATTGCTGCATACATGTAGACAGTGATGCTTTACTGCATATTAAATTAGTCTAATGCACAGTAAAGCATCTTGTGTAGACATACCCTGTTAAACTTACTCTTCCAATCAAGTCAGTAAGAGAACCTATTGTTCTCAGGGTACTTAAAGGATAATATTAGACACAATCAGGCATAGAACAAGAAAAAGAAAGACAAAATCCAAGACGTAATCTGTAACTTCCTGTTAATGGCAAAAATGGAATAATTTTATTATCTTGAAATACACTCCCTTAAAAATCTCAAAAGAAATGCATTATACTGATGGTTTGTTTTAGATTAATAATATATTTCTTACTGTGTGAGACGGCACAGAATGAGGTTTAATAGTGGGATTCCCAACAGTTGTAACTTTGGTTTGCTTTTGCAGATGATCCACCCATTCATGCAAATCTTGTTGGTTGTTACATGATACTAATATCCGTTCAATCATATTTCCTAGATGAAAGAAAGCACAAGCTTGAAAAAAAAAAAAACAAAAAAACAACCCAGTTATCTACCAACACAAAATTAATAAGGAACATGAGACTGACAGGAACCTCCTGAGTTATCAAACCCAGTCTCCAGCTATTGTGAACACTATATCAGATAAAGCCTTTGATTAACTGATCAAGATCCTCTGAACTTACCTATTTATAACATGCCCAATTCAGCAAAGCAATAATGTTTCATTCTTTCTTTACTGTGATGAGAGATTTGATTTAGCTGTCTGTCACAAAAATATAGGCCAGTCTGCAATCTTTCTTAAATAAAATTCATAAACAGTGGGTCTAGCATTAGAAGGAAATAGACTGACAAGTCTTGTCCAAGGAGAGGGGGAAACACTACACATACACACACAGAGCAGCTAGGCTCTTTAACTTAGAAGTTAAAAAGATTTATAAAATCCCTTCTACCAAACATTCGATAAAGTAAAGAACATTAAAACAGTCAGGAGACATGGCTTTCAGCAACCAGAAGACACTACTTGCTCTATTTCAACTGACCCAGCCAGGACAAAGACATTAATCAAGTATTTAATGGAAATAAGCACAGAAAGTGTCTGGCTGCTTTATGACCCAGTAATAAAACTAAAGTGAAAGTTATTCAGTTGGGAGAAAATTTAAACAGATATAGGGTCAATATCAGCCCCTCCAATTGCAAAAACTGTGTGTGGGGGAGGATTATTCTGATTTTCAGTCTGCTTGGAGCTACATCTTTAACCCGTCCAGAAACTGAAGCAAAGGCAGAATTCAGACAACTAGTTCATATGCTATACATTATTGGATCCTACTGGTTTTCCAGAGTAATTTAAGATGTTATATTGATCTATAGAACAGTAACGTCCAAGAAAACTACCTAAGAAATCCTCTTTTCCCCTTACGTATCACTACACTTGTGGCTAGCAGACATAGCTAAGCAGAAGCTCCCTTGACAAAGAAATTGCTCTTGGCTGACAGCTCTCTATTAGAGCCCCAGTACAGACTTTAGATTTACTTTCTACCTTGGCCCAAAAGGAGCCCTTAAGGCAAGGACAGACATCCCAAATACCAATTTCAAATGTCTTCAAAGTATTTTAAAGGGTAAACTACGATCAAAGTTTGCATCTCCTGCTGGAGACTAGAAGCCGCACTGAATTTGCTGCACTTTCCTGACTACATGGAGGTTGCAAAGGTGGAACATCCAGGGTAGAGTTGAGCTTTCATTTGTGTAACATAGAACAAGCAGAAGTGAGTATATACATAGAGATGCTTATGGAAATTACCTGATATTTCAAATGCATTTTTGTGATTTTCACTGTCTTCTAACTTTGTGATGGTCATTCCGGTCATTGGCAGCTTTCCCTAGAAAAAAAGAGTCATAATACATGCTTCCCCTTTTACTTATTGAAGTAGGCATGCAACAAAGCTGCTTAAAAATAAAATATACACATTTAAAAAGTGCGAAGAATTGGTAACCCAACAATTTGAAATACATATTTGAATCTGGAATAATATTTGCAAAAATTCACACAAACCTGATAACCAAATTACAGAGCTTTGTGTGTTAAGTCTTTTCTATTAACTGACAATAATTTATGTTCTAAATGAGCCTGAAATCTGAACAGGCTTCAAGTATCACCCAGAAATATCAAAACTCCAGAATAGGGTCTTCTCACTCCTTGAAAGCTTCCAGAGATGCCCCCATTCCACCTGTGTTCCACAGTGAATGCTGGTGCTGATTATTTGATTTCAGAGGGAATCAAGTAATTTAGCATGAACTATTTGACCTTTTTTCCTGCTTGCAAGTGATCTACAATACAAAAGAAATCACCCTGTTTATTTACTATAAATCAAAGAATCTGCAAATAATTTTTAACTGGTAGCACAGATATCCAATATAAGTTTGCTGTCTGAGTGCCTATTTAGGTAGCCAGTTTATGTAAAAAAAAATACCTATAAAATGAAATGTCATGATTAGTTAATAACTACTGCCCCCTGAGTCTTCAATTATATGACCCCACACTATTTTTAAACACAGGACCCCTACCTCAGTCACTGTATGGGGCAGCTCAAACTCAGGGAATGAACTAGTGTTGTATAGTTAAAGCTGTTTTGTGGGTTGGATGGTGAGTAGTGAATGAGGTAAAGAAAGGGGGGGAAACAGATAGTCCCTTTGTCAAGGTAAGTGCAACTGGATTCTACTCCTGTGTCTGTCACAGAATGTATACGAGATAGAAATTTTCACCACAGCTGTAACTAAAAATCAGTACTGCCAAATATGCTTAAGCTAAGGTCCTTGGTATATCAAAATGAGAACCCAATTAAGTAGACCATTTTTCTCCCCTAGTCCCCACAACTGGAAAATGAAGTAAAATAATACCAGCTCACTGGAATGTGAAAATGGTTCATTTATATTTGAAGCACTCATATACTATGTTGACAGCATCAGAGACATATTAAGAAATTAATCCTTCTGTAGTCAATGCAGGGATTGAGCAGCATGTGTTAAAATGAGGCCTAGGGGAACCCATTAAATGTGGAAGATAAAAACTATTGAATTCACTACTGAGGTAAGGCAACTGTGGGGAAAAAAAAAAAATCAGGATGTGTTCATGTAATTAAAGACTGAATCATGAAACTGAAGGGGGCAAATTAAGATTGATATGGAGTGTGCACATGAGAATGCAAGCTTGGAGAGGCACAATCCAGTTTGTGGATGACTTCTGCAATTTCCTGTTCAAACTAGTTTCTCAAATTTTGCTGCCCGAGAACAGCAATCCTAAGGTCAGTAATGAATTATCCAAGCAGGTTAAAGTGTTGTGCCACAGGCCGCTGTGTCTTTCTGCAGCTGATCTCAGATCAGTGTTCATCCATTCTTACACAGAGATGATGAATTACCTCCAACCTCTCCTAGAAAAGGATGAATAAAGATAGAAGCAAACTTGTCCAGGCTTACAGACAGCCCCCAAATCAGGTCTCTTAAGAAACAGACCAACTCCCGTCCTCACTAAGGAAACAGGCCTTGCAATGGACCCCAGTGTTGGCTGTGTCCCCACATCAATACAGGCCACACCAGACCCCATAACAAGAAGCACATCTGAGGCTGATTCACCTGTAACTCTATACCATCAACTGCTCACAATGCCTGTCTGCTGTCCACATCAGACACATGAAGCAATCTTTACACGTAAGAATAAGTAAACAGTGATCCAACATCAACTTCAAAAAACATGAACACCTATGTCAGAACACTTTAACCTCCTTGGACACTCCATTGCTTACCTCAGGATTGTTGTTCTCAGGCAGAAAATTTTGAAAAAAAGTAAAAAAAAGAGCTTGAATGGGAAATTGCAGGGAACACACTGTCCCTATCCCCCTCCTCTCCCCTCTTGTCCTAACTTCTTGTATTCAAATCTCACACTCCACTTTATACACTGCTCTTTGCTGTCCTTTCATAGCATCCAATGAAGCGTAGCTGAATTCACAAAAGCTTGTGCTCAACATATATCCTAGTCAGTCTAATGGTGCATATCTACCCTGCATCCTGCTTGACTAAAGATTATCACAGCTAACTGCTTCCACCTGGTGAAGCCAATCAGGAACTAAAAAACCTTAGCGGGACTGACAGACACAAAGCCCAAGCAATGAAAAGGAGACAAAGGCACACACTCTTGCACCAAATGATTAAGTTCCAACTAGTAAAGAAACTAACTGTTCAAAAGCAGTACTCACTCCATGATCTAGAAGAGAAGCCACAATGCAGTAGGAAGATTTTAATCTAAACCCAAACAATGTTTAAAAATAAAGAAACTGAGGCAGGAAAACATATTTATATAGATACATAGATTGAATAAGGGCTGGAAGGGACCTTGTAGATTATCAGGTCCAGTCCCCCTCCACTAGGCAGGAAAAGACAACTGCCCAGTGTCCTTTTGAAGATTTCCAGGGTAGGTAACTGCACCACCACTGGAGGGAACTTATTCCACAGTCTGGACACCTTGACTGAAGGAGTTTTTCCTGGAATTGTGCCTGACACAGCCTTCCAGAAGTTTATCCATTGCTCTTGGACTTCCCCAGGGGTGCCCTGGTGAACAGCTGTTCACTGAGTTCTTGATGTACTGCCCTGATGTAGCAGTAAGCCGCTACCAAGTCCCCTCTCAGCCTTCTCTTCTGTAGGCTGAAGAGGCCCAAGTCCCTCAGCCTCTCCTCGTATGGCTCGTCTTGTAAGTCCCTGATTATATGGGTGGCTCTTCTCTGGACCCTCTCAAGTTTTTCCATGTCCTTGTTGAAGTGAAGCACCCAGAACTGGACACAGTACTCCAGCCGTGGTCTCACCAGTGTGGAGTACAGTGGGAGTATCACTTCCTCAGACCCTGTACTAGTCAAAGAGTGATTGGTTCTTATAATTCTTATGAAGTCTGTATGCAAGATTACTTCCACTATCATATTTATCTGGGTTTGCCTTTCACCTCTTCACAGTCCTCACAAGGTTGGAGCTCTGGGATAGGGTGTGCTTATGCTACTGAAGAGTCCACAGAATCAGCACCAGTCTTGAGCCAGATAGGGTATCATGACCTAACCACCCTATTTCTACAAAGATGAAACAGTCAGAGTCTGTATCAAGGAACTGTGAATGCTGGAGCTTACTCAGATTGCTGAAAGCTTTAAGAGTGCCCAAGACCAAAAGTGGATGGAACCCAAACAGCACCCTGGTAAGCAGTCAGCTGTATCAGGTCTGCATGATGTCAGCATTTTCCTTCACAGATCTAAAAGCAGCTTACAAAGAACATGAGTAGCCCGTAAAAAGGAAACTGAAGCATAGAGATGAAAAGTATCCTACAACCATATAGTAGATCAGCAGCGTAAATAAACTCAGGTCTCAACTTACAATCCAGCATGCTATTAACTAGACAATTGTGACTTCCCATAGATATACTACTGTGGCATAAAACTGACCATGACATTACACCTTTGATATTCAGTGTACATGCACAGTAAATGAATACAAGTTTTAAAAAAGAGTCTTTTAAGTTGGCTGTGAATTACGTTAAAAACAAATGCTTTACCTGATAGATAAATCCACTCATCCTTGGGCTGGCAGACAACATGAGCAAAATATTAGGGAATAGAAGAAGATATCTTTCATTCTTCTCCTTATTAAAAAGAAAGAAAAAAAATTAACTCACTAAATACAAGGCCGTAGACCCATTCAGTATTTTTATTTAGGATATTCACCAATGTGGTGTGTCCACAATTTTTTTTGCCTACCAGTTGATACACACCTAGCAAAATGAACTTTAGAAAAATAAATTTGACCTTAAGAATAAGAAGAGTGAAACAGCATTTGAAAGTCTATTTAAAAAAAGCTAGTAACAAGCTCTTGTATTCTTCCATGAGAATTATATACTAACATTTTAATATCCTGGATGAAATTAACGGCAATTTTTCTGTCGACTTGAGACAGGAGTATTTTACATGCTGCATATATTTAATTATCTAATTTGACTTAAGCGAATACAGTGAATGTCTATGTATTTCTATTCCAGCTCACTTTTAACATTACGAAGATTGTATTTTTGCTTTAGGAGCAACTGGAGGAGGAATAAATTGAAACAAAATAAATAAGTACACAAGTATAAGTAAAACAAGAAGCTGTCATTCAAAAAAAGTCACCCATCAGTCACATACTTCAACGTTAACGGCTATGCATAGTAAAACAAGAAAGAACACTGTGGAACCCTCCAAAAATCACTACAGAACTTATCCAATCTATTTTAGGGTTTTGTACTGTTGCCCATCACTGGAAAAGCTGGGCACTTTTCACAAAATTAACAGCAAAAACCCTAGCAGTCTCCATGGAGTTTCTGGTACTTCTCTTTCTTCAAGTTCTTTACTTTGCAGGGGAGATGTTTTTTATTTTGTTTGTGCTTTATTCTATAATCTATCATGAAAGAGTTCTCTTAAAATTCATAGAGTCCTTAACAGAATTTTATTTATAGCCATTTCAACAACTGACTTCAAAACAAAGTGTTGATCATTTCAAATACTAGTATCTGATACATTTTTTGGCTACCAAGTGAGGCTCGTTTTAAGATTACAATTTCCTAATGAATCTGTTTTTCTAACTGGTGTTTCCTGACTCTTACTTTCATAAAAGGATTCATAACACGATCAAGTTTTTCTATTGAAATAAACTGTTCTATACATGGTCAAAAAGTGATGGCATAATGCTATGAGGTCCATGAAGCTAAATCCCACTTCAGTTCATGATTATTTTAAGCCAAAGGGAAAAACAAAAAAACACCACGCATACAAACAAAGGAGTTGAACTTTTTAAAAATTCTATTTAATGAGTGTCAATTTTTTAAAATGTCTAACTTAAAGAAAGTTTCTGATGACAACAGATATTAATTTCTGACAGTTTTAAGGAATTCATTTAAACATTTGTAAAAGGATTTTTGTGTCTCTGTTCACAGAAACTTTTACAGCAATATAGAAACTGTATAAATTAGAACAGAAATAATGCAATTCATAAACACTTGGTATGTTTTCATAGTGAAAAACTGCAGAAATAAAACTTCTATAGTAGAAATTTGTCTTCAGCCAGCATGTTCCAACAGAGTTTTGCCATTTTTTGTATACTATTACTATACTATATTTTGCTTAGCCATTAAACAAATCTACACCAGCTCAGGATCAACCCTAATATCTCCAATGAACATTTGTTTCCCAACATACATGTTTCACCTTCCACATGGCAGACCTTGTGGTTCTGCTAGGAAAGATACACATTTACTGGGTTTCTAAAAGGACTTAATTTACCATGTTAGCAAGTTCCTTTAGCAGAAGTCTGAATACATACCATAGCTACTTACATATTTCTTTTTTTTAAAAGTTTTATTTGATATGACTTTAAAAACATAAAATAACAATTTATCCACTATTCCAAATTAGTTTAGGGTGATCTTTGTAGTATTCCAGTAACTATAATCACTTTGATTGCTTATATTGTTTTTTCTTTTTATATAATGAAATATTTAACCATTAAGATAAAGTTAATCTTGTTATGATTTACTTTTTATAATATTTTGATCAGTCATTATTAGTGTTCTGGAATTAACCATGTATTTTACATTTCCTATTGCTTAGCATAAATATATTTGCCCTATTGGTCCCATGATTTTAGAACTTAAGTTTAGCATAAGGAAAATGACTGTGTAAGGTTTGCAGGATGTCTGGCTTATGTGGAAAGAGGTAACGAAAGAGTGAACGATGTATGTACGTGACAACTTGAAGGAAGACAGTCCTCTTGCAGCAGGTGAAAATAGCCTTCTCTGGTTTAATGGTTAAAGGCTGCAGCAACATCAAGTCGGCAGTGAAGGATTACCAAATACTGGATCATGCTTCACCCCGACAGCTGAAGGCTGCAAGCAATGACCTCCCTGAAGACTGCAGACAAGAAGGATCATGTCCTACTAATCCCAGCCTGCCAACAGGACAAGGAGGATGACTTTCATGTCTGACTCAGTGGAATGCATAGGTTTGTATGGACAGCTATCACTATAAAGACTGAACACAAAAACAAGGCTTTGGGGTCTTTGCCACCGGCAAGAAGAAGTTTTGGGTGCATCCAACAAGACCTAACTCCAGCCCTTGTGGTTAGTCTGGCTGGCCACCAGACTGACCTGAGTGACTTCAGAACTTGGTAACACCTTAACCTTTGCAGGACTGTCTATCTGTGTGTGCACGTGCTTGTTTCTTTTGTATGAATGAATGAGTATGCCTGGGTTCTTTTTATGTTGCATGCCTTATACCAGTAAGATTCCTGCTTGTTTTTAATTCACACTGTACGCCCTGTGCGCACAACATCTTTTCCTCTACATACTCAGTTTGTAATACTGTCAATTCATTTTTCCACAGCCTCCCAACTTGAATTAAGCTACTTAAGGTCTGGACTCAATCTTTATGCAGATCTCCACAAGAAAATCATTCCCTTCTATGACCTCTCTTATTTTATACAAGGTGCTATATTTGTATCACCACTCAGTGACCTCAAAGCCGTCATATTTCATTATTGTCCCTCAAAACAAAACAAAAATAAAAAATAATTAAAAAAAAAAAAAAAAAAAATCACTCAATCCCTTGACTGAGCTCTTTAAATATTAAACAATTGAGAAAGAGGTCCAAAAAACCCAGGGAGAATGCGTCTGGGATGCAATGTAAAATAAGCATTTCTAAATTCTCTTTACATGTGGTAATAACTGCTTTGCCAGACTGTTTTATAATGTAAGCATGCAAAGTGAAAATTCTCTCTAATTATGCACTTTGGAAACACTTACAACCTCTTAAGGTTATTTTTAAAGTGTTTCCAACAGCTCTATTTGGCTAAGCTTCAGTCAAATTTTAGCGCGGCTTGTACTTATAAATCGAAGCAAGCACTTTAACATGTACATTTATAAGTTTTAGGCAAGCTAGTATACAAGTGCAGTTAGTCTAGATTTTTTTTTTCCTTCTTAGAGTGGTCTTTTTTATGTCTGTTGTTCAGTACCCAGCATTCATTATTAACTGTAACAGCAGAAAAGTAAGGGAAAAAAAATACATAATGAGGATTGGAACTACCTTACCTCACTTCCAGCACACTGAATCATGACCTGGGACATATAAATTACATTGCCCAGTGTTTTGATGTCCTCTCCCTCCCAGCAGCGGATAGCTTCTGTCAGTATCTGGAGTTCAAGTTCTTTTCTTTTCCGTACTTCTTGACATTGTGCCTATTAGATACAGGGAAAATACTATGAAGGTGGTGTGCCTGCAAACACAACTTATAGGGAGCAAGTGTCAGCTGAAATATTACACATTTACAACACTATGCTTGCAGTACCTGATACAGGACACAGACAATTTGTTTCAAGTTGAATACACTCCATTGTAAGAAATGCTCAAAGTACTACTTAAATTTACATTTCTGTTAATACCAGTGCTTTTCCTTTTAATTTAGTAGCTTCAAAACTGCTCTAAAATTTATCCATCCAGTTACTACTTCATTCTCCTTCAAATCTTTCCTCTTTAATAAACAGTTGCCTATGAATAGCTAGCCAACTAGAAAGATGGAATATAGCTGCTTTGTATATAAATCAGCAGACAGGGTTCTTTGGGTAAATGTGATATCTTTTATTAGACCAACTAAATAGGTGGGAAAAAAAAAACTGTTCTTTCCAAGCTTTTGGGCACAAACACTTCTTCAGGCATAGGGAGAGTCTGCTGGTGTTCTGTGTGCTTTCCTGGGTAGAATAGAAGCCAAAATGCAGATCTGTGAAAATGCAAGTGTGTGGCAGTGAGGATCAAAGGGAATGGTAGACAGTAAGTGAGACAGGTAGGTGGTGGGGGGAGGTGGAATGTAGAATTGATGATAGAAGAATGTAGCTGGTAAAATGCAGACAGATCACTGGGGGTTATCAGATGGAAGGCAGGTTATAATGTGTCATAAGTCCAATGTCTATGTTTAATCCATGATTTTTTGTATCCAATAGATTTATGAAGTGAAGTTCATAGGCTCGTCTACAAAAGGTGTTCTGTAAATTCCCTTTGAGGACTAGAACTGAGAGATTGGAGACAGAGTGGTTGCCTTGTGAGAACCAAGCACCCACAAGTAATTGAGTATTTTGCTTTGATAGATTTTGGGTATGTGTTCATTCTGGTATGTAGTTTTTGTTTGGTTTCTCCTACATATTTTCCATCAGGGCATTAAGTGCATTAGATGAAATATATTACATTTGTGGAGGTGCAGATGTAAGATCCAGGAAAGGTGATGGCTCTGTTGTGGGGTGCAGTTATTGTGGGAGTGGTGGAGACATCTTGACATAACACCAGCAGACTCTGCCTATGCCTGAAGAAGGGCGTTTGTGCCTGAAAGCTTGCAAAGAACAATTTTTCCAACTATTTGGTTGGTCTAATAAAAGATACCACATTTACCCAAAGAACCTCGTCTGCGTATGTCCTTAGACCAGCACGGCTACAACTAACAATCCTGAAGTATGTTCTATATCATTATGGTTTCATTTGGTAAAGAAAATATATTAACTGCACAGACATTAAGTCTTTGTTATCCATTTTCTCATGTCCTTCCCTCTCTATTTGGTCTTCCCATTTGCCCCATCTCTCATGAAACTTTTCAGAGCAAACCTTTATTCCTTCTCTCTCTGCAACACCCAGTTCTGTTTTGGGTTTAAGAATAGGTGGATTTTTGATCATTCTTCCTCTTCTAGCATATTTCAGCAGTACTAACATAGGCGCTGCACTGGATTCTTCATCGGAGGGGGTGGGGAGGCGGGGGAGCAAAAATGACATTGCAAATCCAGCATTAAGAAGAAGTTAGAAAAACAAGCCTTGATGCAAGGGGATACTCTGCTTGCATGAGGGGCTGATTGGTCAGGCAGAGCTTCATTATTCACAGATTCATAGATTAAGGGTCGGAAGGGACCTAGTAGATCTTCTAGCCCGACCCCCCGCCAGGGCGGGAGAACAACAAAAAACCCCAAAAAGAGAAACGGGACTCAAATGAGTCCAGCCAGGTAGGCATCCAGCCTCTTCTTAAAGACCCCCAGGGTAGGGGCCAGCACCACTTCCCTTGGAAGTTGGTTCCAGCTCCTAGCCGCCCTAACTGTGAAGTAGTTTTTGTGGAAGCCTCATCCCTAATTGGTAGTAAGCGATGTCTTAACCTGCACCAGTAGGGTTATCATATTTCCAGTTTCAAAAAAGAGGACA